ATGCATATGCATGTGTACCCAAAATCTCAAGAGGAAAATGGAGAAGGGACTGTAATGTGGCCATCCCTCCTGGGGGGGGTACTTTCTCTCAATCTGTATCTGGCAAGCACACGCAATTTATGATTTAAATTTAAAAAAAAAATTTTTTTAAAGTGCTTATTTCATTAGGACAGCCAGATGATGAGGTGGTTAAAGTAGCTAGATCCCACGTCTGACTATACAGTTTAAGGCTTGAACTTGGTGGCCTGAAAAACATACTGGGTGCTTGTATATACGTGCCCAATATTTCAGGAGAATGGAGAAGTGAGGCAGGAGAAAGCTAGCAAATGGAAACATGTAAGGGGCTGGAGCATCTGCCTATATGACTAGATAGAAAAACCCTATAGGGGTAGAAAATTCTCTGCCCAAGGTAACACAGGCAGAAGATCAGTGGGGGTTGTCTAGCTGATTAAGCCACATTTGAAATAACCAATGATATAAATCAGTGAGCCTGGTGACAGGTGGCATGGTGGCTGGGATGCTGGACTCCTACATGGCTGACTGTGGTTTGAGTCCCAGACCTGGAGGCTTACTTTCTCACTTTCTCTCTCTGATCACATTAAAAAATAAATAAATAAATAATTTGGGACCAGCAGGTGGTGTGGTGCTGGACTCTCACATGGCCAATTGCAGTTCAAGTTTCAGACCTGGCAGCTTACCTTATCTCTCTCTCTCTGGTGAGTGCATGTGCCCTATAGCAAATTAAAAAATAATAAATAAAACTAAATAAAGCTTTTAAAAAAAAGAAATGAATTAAATCAATCGACCAATGAGCCCAGCCACATTTAATATAGCTACTGAGATGGGAACAATCAGTGGGTTCAGCCAATGATCAACTGACACAACCTAGATCAAAAAATATAACCCTCACATAATGTAACTGCCAGGGCCTTAGAGTCACTTTTTCTCTGTCCACTCGGGCCCGGTCCCACCTCTTAGGAGTGCACTTTTGCTTGTACGTAATACACTACCTTTCCCTTCTGGTATCTGTGTGCTTTGTTCAGTTCTTTGTCCGAAACGTCAAGAACCTGGACAGCATCATAGAAGCCATCGTGCAACAGGAGGGACTGTGAAATAACCATCTCCCCTGGGGAGGACTTTCTCACGTCACCCCCACAACCTCTGGCCCCCATAAGCAAACACACACACCCTATAGCAAATTTTTTAAAAAGAAAAAAATGCTCGTTTTAGTAATTATTAGTTCTCAATCACTACCAATACCTGTTATAAATACCATTTCTGGAACTAGTTTCAGCTTCAGCATTCTTGATTACCCAGAAATGTGCTATATATTAAGAAAGACCTTTAAATTTCTTGAAACAAATTACTTACGAAGAAACTGACTAGTGAAATTATTTCCATTCCACTAATGCATTAAGAATGTATTTTTTTCTGCCTACGTAGTTTTATTAATCTATTAATCCTATGGCAGACAAGTAAACAAAGTGTTAATATTATAAAACATCAAAACAAATAGCTAAATAATTGAGGGCAAACTGCTCTGATGCTTATGGACTAAAAAGCACAATTTCTTTAAAACTTTGCCAGAAGGTGCATGTGCCTGCCAGAGAAAAAAAGAGAGAAAGAACCCCCTCCTCCCCAACAGGGAATGATCACATCGCAGTGCCTTTCCCTCCATTTCTGCCTCCTTTCAGGATTTTGGGTGTTCACACACACACACACTCACACACACACACACACACACACACACACACACTTGTGTTTCTCAAGCCACCTGGTCTGGGACTATAGGGTTGGCCATGTGAGAGCCAAAATCTTTAACCACCATGCTATGGGTTGGCCCTAGAAATTACAATTTTTTTAATTCTTTTTTTTTAAAGGAATTATTTAACTTTATTTATTTATTTATTTAAATTTGACCAGAGAGAGAGAAAGTGAGAAACCAAGCTACTAGGTCTGGGGCTCAAACCACACTTGGCCTCATGGGAGTCCAGAGCCCTCAACCACCAGGTGCCACCTGACCCTAGAAATTACAATTTTAAATATTAGGAAAAACAAAATATTAAAATAACAAAAAGTAATAATGTTAATGGTCAAATAACATCATAAACTCCTAAATGTTGCCACAAATATCATTTTTATAAAAACAAAACATTGTCTTTCAAAACAGTGAGAAGAGTGCCACTCTTTTATTTTTTTTTGTAAATATTTTTAATGTATGGCTTAACACAACATATTACTATACATGCTTCGGTATTTAATTTATAATAATGTCATAAATTGGTCATGTCACCTCTAGACTACTCTGCTATGCAATAACAAGAAGACAACAATGGCAACTTATAGGGCCAGCCAGTGGTGTGGTGGTTGAGGCAGTTGGATCCTACATGGCCAACTTTGTGGTTCAAGTCCCAGATCTGGTAGCCTGAAAAAACAGGCTGTGTGTGTGTGTGTGTGTGTGTGTGTGTGTGTGCGCATGCCTCAAATTCCAAGAGAATGGAGAAGGTACTGCGGCAAAGCCATCCTCTCTGGGGGGGTGCTTTCTCACTTTCTCTCTCTCACTCTCTCCTATAAGGGCATGTGCCCTATAGCAAAAACCTCTCAGAAAAAATTTTTAAAAAAAGCATTTATATTATGTTTGCAAATGGGAAAACGAAAAGCACCAGGAGATTAAATAATTTGTCAAAGGTTATACAGCCGACCTTTGTGATTTTAGGTTCTTGTTAATCAGCCTAATATGATGCTGTGTGGTGTTTAGTGTTCAGAATTTTTTTTTCCCTAAATTGAGTACCTGTGGGTGATCTCTAATCTAGTTTCTTTTCCTATTGGGCAGTGTCTCTTTTTTTTTTGCCACAGGCACCTGCACTTGGAGAGATACTGAGACAGTGAGAAGGAAGTGAGAAATCACCCCCACCCTGGGCAGTGGTGGGACATGACCACACTGCAATAATTTCTCCTCCATTCTCCTCCCAGGATCTTGGGAAGGCATGCACATGCACCCAGAGTGAGTTTCAAGCCACAGGGGGACTCTAACCGCAGTCAGCCATGTGGGAGTCTAGTGACATTACTGCTACACTATCTGCTGGCACCTGGGTGGGTTTTTTTGTTTTTTTGTTTTTTTGTTTTTGCTATAGGGCATTTGTGCTCTCTGAAAAGAGAAAGAGACAGACAGAAAGCAGGAAATCACCATCCCGAGGTGATGGCCGCACCACAGTCCCTGGCGCTGGACTCCCACATGGCGCGAGTTTAAGCCACCAGGTCCGGGACTAGAACCACGGTCGGCTACATGGGAGGTCAGCGACATAGCCATTACGCTAACTGCTGGTCCCATATATATGTGTGTTTTTTAAAAAAAGAATTAGTTATTTTATTTGTTATTATTTTTTATTTTGACCAGAGACAGACAGAGAAAGGGAAAGTGAGAAAACAGGCTGCCAGATCCAGGACTCAAACTGTGGTTACCCATGTGAGAATCTAGCACCCCAACCATCAGCCACCTGCTGGCCAATGTAAATATAATAGACATATTTACACCTCACCAAATTTTATGAAGAGTAAATGAGTGAAAACAGGTTAAGTGCTCAAAACTGCCTGAATGTAAACAAAACAAAAACACAATGTTCCCTTTCACTATAATAGTGTTTATTTAGTGTGTGCTAAAATAATAAATCTGAAACATTTTTTTCAACAGTGTCTGCCTAAAGCAATCCTAGCAAAAGGCAGCAGTCACCCCAGATTTATTCTCCCTAGATGGTCTGTAGAGTATTTCAAGTACTGGTTTAGTAGAAGGGAAAGCACTTAGAAGAATATAGAATTGGTTTTTGAAAACATGAAAAAAATTCTCTAAGGAACAAAAAATAAATCAGTATTTTGTGAAGAACTGGGCTTGGGGCTGACAGGTGGCATGGTGTTAATGGCGCTGGACTCCCACATGGCTGACTGTGGTTCGAGTCCCAGACCTGGCAGCTTGTTTTCTCACTTTCGCTGTCCCTCTCTGGTCAGAGAAACGAAAAATAAATAAATAAATAAAGTTAAATAAAATAATTATTTTTTAAAAATTAGGCTTTATGACAAAGTTCATAAGCTGAAAAGGACTTTCAAAATTATTTAGCAGTCTCATTTCTTTATTCACAGACGAAGCAACCAAGACTCATGAGTTAATTTGTCCAGAACCTTAAGGGGAGTGGCAGACTCCTTCCAATCGAAAGCACTAAGGTCTTGAAAACTGTTAACCAATTCTGAGCAGCTTGAATAGTCAACGTTTGGCAAGAAGAGGTGGTTAAGAAGCCAACAACGTTTGCTCTCCTACCCTAAACCGGTTCTCAAGGAATCAAGAAAACTTCAGAGCTTTTTCTGACCACAGAAAGATCACAGCAACACTCTAACAGTGCCTCAGTTTCCAAAGCACTTTTCACCGTGGCAGAAGGGAATAACATTAAAATATTCAGAATTAAGAGTATCTGATATTCCTGGCATTTAACTCTTGCTTTAAACACGAGGTTCAAGATGACTGGTCTACACAAGCACTCATCGCTTCTGCACAAAACTACATCGCTCCTTATTATTCCCAGTAGGATCTGAGGAATACGGCGAAAAGGTCCAGAAAACCTCCGACTCGCTTGCCCAAACCAGAGCTCAACAACTAGGGTACAGGAGCCTCTCGCCAAACCATCAGCACAGACCCGTCTAACAGGCACGGAGCCTACGGAGCCTGCGCAGCCCGCGCGCCCGGCCCCTCCCCGCGCTGGCCCGGCCCCCGGGAAGCCCCCTTGGCCCCACCCCGGGCCAGGGCCCGCCCCCAGCTTCTCCGGCCTCCTTCCTGTGGGAAGTGCGGCTCCATTCGCGTCCCCCACCCTCTCGGCTCCGCCTGGCCGCCGCTCAGTAGCCGAACGCCCGCTGGCCTGGAGCGCGGCGTCGGGGCCCTCAAACAGGCCCCCCGGCGGGTCGCGCCGGGGCACCAAGCCGGGGGCCTACCCTCGCCAGCGTGGGACACGTCGTACCTCGCCACCAGTACGTTTTGGACAAGTCGTGCCAAGTCTGATGCCGGGTGTGGTGGGTGCCGCCCGGGCCCAGGTGCGCCGCTTCGATGAGGCCCTGGCGCCGCTCCGGCTGCAGCACCACCTCCAGCTCCGCGAAGGTCTTGCGGTGCCGCTGTCGCCGCTGGTAATACAGAGTCCCGCCGCGCACCACGTAGCAAGCGGCAGCCTTGCGGATTTTACGCTTGACATTGCCCTCAGTGCCGGGCGCGTACGGCTCGCGCTCGTTCGTCAGGTAGCGCAGGATGGCCCGGTAGCTTTCCTCGCTTGACATCGCGAACGGCGGCTCCCTGAGGGCGCCTGTCAGCCGGAGGAGAGGAAGACAGCACACTAGCTCCGGACAGATGCAATAGCAGCCGTGGAACTGTACAAAGGAATAGCTGTGCCTTTGGTGAGCACTCTTCGACGGCGCCCGCAACGCGAAGGAGAACGGACGAATTGGTAACCAGGGGGAACTGCACTTCTCCAGCGCGCGGGATCCGCTGGCGACTGACAAAATGGCTGCTGCACCACCGGAAGTGACGCAACCCGAGGGCGGAGACTGTGCCCTGATTGGAGCGTACTCGATTTCTGGCTTGATGCTGCCGGTCAGATGACGTCAGGATTGCGGGAGGACATGTTGGAAGTGGGTAGACTCTTCCTAGGAGATGGAAAGGTCTTTTAGCAGACATCTTAAGTCCTGGCAGTTTCCCCTTTTGTATTTCCTATCTTTCCCACGCTCTCTGAGGAGCCACGTGTAGGAGCTGGTGGGCAGTTGTGATTCTATCCAAGACATCCAAAGGAGTAAAGGAGTCCGTATTTTTGTCTGCTTCTGAGACGCCAAATATTAAAGCATCAGATCTGAGGTTCTAGCAAAATAATCACCCACTAGACACAGAACCAAACACACAAAAATGGGAGTTCGTTAACAAGCGTTTAGGATTTAAGTTCGCCATTGGTTACTGTCATTTCTAAACTGCTGGCTCCGAACTACTCAAGAAATAGTCGGGATTTTTCTGGAATCATCAGCATACGATTTTCTACGTTTAAAGGCTATCGTGTCAGAATGGGTGGAAAGCAGTAACGCATCTTTTTAAGGCTGTGTTTGGTCCTACTTCTACATAAATTTGGGGGAGTTGTCAGTTTTACGCCAAATATAAACGAAGAGCTGAAGAGGAGCCTACTTGAACAGTTTCCTAATTCCTAATTCAGACTTTTTTTAAGGTTATTGCCATAGGATGGGGGTGTTGACTTGAAACAGAAACAGTGAGAAACCACCTCTTTCACACACACCCTAGGGGTGACAGCTTGGAAGCAATCTCTTCTCCATTTTCCTGGGAGTTTTGGGCATGCGTGCACAGGAAGGAGGGTGATTTTCATGCTGGGTCTGGGACTTGAACCATGGTTGACCATGTAAGAGTCCAGCACCTTAACCACCATACTACCTGCTGACTAGTAATCTTTAATTTTTTAAATTTTTATCCATTTATTTTAATTTGACCAGAGAGAGAGATAAAGTGTGAAAGCAAGTTAATAGGTCTGGGGTTTGAACCATCCTCGGCCATGTGGGAGTGTCCAGCACCTTAACCATGCCACCTGCTGGTCCCCACTGACAGGTAATTCAACTGACAGCCTTGGTCACCCTTTTCTGGGGTCAATCTGGATTACTCAGTGTAGCCTCTGATGAACCACACTGCCTGGTAACTGGTGCATCTTGGCTGTAGTAAGTGGTTGCTAATCCCCTACTTCTTCAAGGGGTAGTCTGCAGTCTGTGCAGGCTCTTTGATCCTCTTGGAATTAGGTGAGGGGCAGACAACCAGTGAATGTAGTGGGCTTGAAACAGGATGCACCTTATCTTTGTGGTACTTGGAATGTGCGCCCATGCAATTCCCAGATAGCCTGGGCACATGCGACATCCTTTGAGGTTCCAGGTGTAGGTCACGAGCTCCCAAGGCCCAGAAGAAAAAAACTACCAACCCTAGAATCTGTCTAGGGTTACTCAATCCCTGATCTTTGTAACTATTGCTGGGAGAGGGAGAAAATAGGTGGAGACACACCCCAGTGAGATGTTCCAGGTCACCTAAGGAGATGGTCTGTGTGCTCCAGCCCCCTTTTCTGCTGTGATATTTCTTTTTAAATAAAAAAGTGAGTGGGATAAGTAATTGGCAAACAGCTATATCACAGAACTCCCATGTAGTTGACCGCAGTTTGAGTCCTAGATCGAGTGGCTTAAACTCATGCCGGGGGTGTGCATGCGTTAAGATCCCAAGAGGAAAATGGAAACAGGATTGAGGTGTGGCCATCTCCCCTGGGGGGTAGTTTCTCACTTTCTTTCTGGCAAAGACATGCACCCTATAGCAAAAACCTCTCAAAAATAAATAAAAATAAATTTAAAAAAATATGAGAGTATATTTTATAAAAATGTTTAGAGATCTTTGCTGTAGGACATGTGTGCTTGTTGGAGACACACTAAAATCAAATCACCCAGGAGGATGGCCATGCTGCAGTCCTGTCTCAATTCACTCAGGATTCCAGGCAGGCATGTACACACACCTGAGTTTTAGGCTGCTGGGTCTGGGACTCGAACCAGTCAGCTATGAGGGAGTCCAGTGACATAACCCTTATATCTGCTGGCCCTGATTTTATAAAATTCCAACAAGTAGGATGTACCAATGATCATGGTGCCAAGTATTATTAACTTAAAAAAATCCTCCAGCCAATTACATTTTTTGCCAAAACACAATCAACAAAAGCACTGAAAAGCCCATTGATACTTCAAATTCTTTGGCCCAGCAGAAAGTTCTAAGTGTCTTGTGAGCAAAGCTTAACACAATGTATTCTGAAAACAGGTAATTGATACTTAGTTCTAGCTACTTTTCTACCACATGTTACCTAGGACTTGGGGGTGACCAGAATTGGCAGTTCTACCATATTAAGACACTTGGGGGCCAACAGGTAGCATGGTGGTGAAGGTGCTGGACTCTGAATACTTGACAGTGGTTTGTGTCCCAGACCTGGCAGCTTACTTTCTCACTCTTGTAAATACCTTGAAAACCAAAAACAATCCATCAAGTATGTATGTGTGGCCAAAATCCTGACTAGATGGAAAAATAGAACAGAGAAATCACTGCAATGTTAACCATGCATCACTAGGGTGATGTTTTTCATCTCTAGTGTGCACATAAGCCTTCTAACAATGAAAAATAGATTTATGTTGAGGATAGCAGATGGTGTGGAGATTGAAGTGGCTGGATCTCACATAGCCCACTGAGCAGTTTGAGCCCCAAACCCAGTAGATTCAGAATCATGCCCAAAATCCCAAGAGGAAAGTGAAGGAGAGGGAATTGTGGTATGGCCTTCCCCCTTTGGGGGTGATTTCTCACTTTTCCTGTCCCCTCACATCACAGGTGCCCTTACAGCCACATGCACACACAAAAATAGTGCATCATATAGTAATCAACTTGGGGAGGCCAGCAACTGGTGTGATGGTTAAGGTACTGGACTCCTACATGGTTGACCAAGGTTGAGTCCCAGACCAGGTGGCTTGAAAATCAAGCCAGGCACAGCTGAGGGCATGGTTAAAATCCTGGGAGAGGGGCCAGCAGGTGGTGTGATGGTTAAGGTGCTGGGCATTCCCACATGGGCAACCACAGTTTGAGTCCCAGACCTGGTGGCTTGCTTCCTCTTCCTCCTCTCTCTGGTCGAATTAAAATAAATTAATGAATAAATAAAATTAAAATAAAGTGGAGAAGTGATTGCCGTGTAGTCTCAACCACTGAGGGGTGATCTCTCCTTTCTCTCTCCCTGTCTCTGGGGAGCTCTTATGCCCCCTGGCAAAAACCTGGAGAAGGAAAAAAACAAAACAAACAAACAAAATCACTGGGGGCTAGCAGGTGGCAGGGGCATGGTGGTTGAGGGGGCTGGACTCTATGGCTGACCATGGTTCGAGTGCCGGACCTGCGATTTACTTTCTCGCTTTGTCCCTCTCTGGTCAAATTAAAATAAATAATAAATACATACATACATACATAGGTGGATAAACAGATTTAAATAAAAATAATTCCCATGTCTTAAATTCCTAACTTTATGGTTTGCCTATTACCATGCAGGTAACTTATATCATGTGAGCAAAAAATCCAGCACAATCTATATAATTAGATCTTTATTGTAAAATCTGATCTGCTAAATTAGCGTTTTCCACCAACTCTGGGAGCAGAAACCTTCACAGGCTTTACAATCTTTTGCTTAGGTGCTGCCTTTGTAGGAGCCTGTAAGAAAATAACACGGTGTTACAAGATTATTTCACAAAACTTTTTTAACCACCCATATGTTTAGATTCGGTATGTATCCTAGATTGCTTTCTTAATAATTTAACTGCATTCCTAATACCAACCTTTTAATGTAATCCCTCCCAAAATGTTAAATGTCCATGTTTAGAATAAAGAAACAATTAAATGTAGCATGGAATCCCAAATTTTATCCTAACAGGAAAAAAATGTCTTTTTAATGAATATAGGACCATTATTAATTTTCTGGTTTTGAAAATTTTACTAGTTACATGAACATATATTATTAGAACAAGTTAGACATTTACTGAGAACTTTCCTGTGAGTCTAAAATTATTTCAAAGTAACTGAAAAAAACATAAGCTACCTTTATTTTCCCCTTTCCCAGTTCTTGTCTGTAGCTGACAGACTTACTGGCTCCTAAGTGAGGGACCTCTGAACCACTGACCCAGAATAGTGATGAACACCATTTTCTATAGTTCTTTCAGAAAATTTATTTAAAATGGTGAAACTTAATCTCAATTTGGCTTAAAAACAAATTTCTCTGTTGTATTGTGTAAGAAATCCAAGAAAACAAAAATTACCTTAGCAGCAGCCATTGCTGTCTTTTTAGATGCTTGCTTAGCCTTTTTTGCTTCCTTGGCAGCCCTACAGCGTTAAAAAGAACGTTAGGCAAAGCCCTTTATTCCAAGGCTACAGCTAATTAACAAGGAACTACAGTGCTTCGGAAGGTAAAACTATCATATCCTCCCCATCTCCCTTTATTTGTACACTATATCCAAAATCCAAGGAATCTGTCAATAAATCCCATCAATCGCCAAGTCAGTATATTAACATATTATATAGTAACTTTAAATGCATATAGAATTAAAACAAATTACTTAAATTATTGGAACCTCAATATAGTTATTTATGATCAACAATCCCAGTTTAAATTCAAGTATCAAAACTAAATAACAGATTGGGTTCCCTTACCTACAAACCCAAACATAATGTAACATCTATCCCTGTTAAGTAAAAAGCTCACAATGACAGCGCTCCTTACCTGATAGCTTGTTCTCGCTGAGCCTTTCTAACTTCAGGTTTTTGGTTCCTCTTGGCCATGATATCAGCAAGAGATGCACCAGTGATAGCTCTCTGGAATTTGACTGCACGGCGGGTCCTTTTCTTTTGAATTTCTTCCTACAAAACCAAAAGATGGGGGGGGAGTGTAGTTACGAACCCTGAGTCATGAATTTGGAGAGAGGAGAAATCAACTCTTTTAAGAAAGGGTGAATGAAGTCTACTGAGACTCGGACAAGATGGTGACACAGTGGTAAAACATAATCTTGCAATGCTCTGGGTTCATATCACAAGACTTTCCTGACTACACAAAGAAGCCACTCGCCCATAATCTGGAACTGGCTGACACTGGAGGTGGATCATGGCATTGGGACTCTGTTGGGAGATACTGTCTATCATAAAGCAAACTATAAAATAAAAAAGTAAAAAGAAAAAAAAAATGGTACCAGGCCATGGCACTGAAGTAACACAACTTGTACCACACAGGAAAGGTTTCAGGTTTGTGTCCCAGGACTTCCCTCAGGACACCAGGTTGGGAGGGTGTATCACAGAGTGAGGACCTTATTTGGGGATGCCTCTTTCTCATGGAATAAATTTAAAAACTAAAACCACAATAGGGCCAACAGGTGGCACGAAGGTTAAGGCTGCTGCATCCCCACTCCAGGCATATGAGCATGCATAACCAAAATCCCAAGAGAATGGTGAAGGGATTTGGCCAAGAGATAATTTCTTTCTCTCTCTCATGATCACACATACCCTATAGCAAAATAAAGTAAAAACAAGGCCAGCTGGTGGCATGGTAGTTAAGGCAGCTGGCTCACACATGGCTGACTGTTCAAGTTCTGGACCAGAGGCTTGAAAAACATGCTGGGTGTGTGCATGCAGCCTAAAATCCAGAAAGGAGGGAGAAAGCAAGAAGCATCAAGGCATGACCATCCCTCCTGGGAAGTGCTTTTCCACTCCCCT